ACACTGCTCTTTTTTAGCAGTGTAGACAAGGAGGCATGAGGTTGGCGGGTAGAGAGCATATAGGGTACATATTCGCATACATACCCACACCCTTCAGACATGTCTTTACTTGCCTATGCCATGCTTTGCCAGCTTTAATGCTATTTATTTATACCTGTGCTAGGGGAGTTATGTGGGATGTACCCCAGATGCTGCCAAAAAAGTGTGCAGTATAGATGTAGCTTAAGGCTATATCGACAGTATGCTACAGTGCACCGTGTGCCACTGTACAGACTATGGTGGGTGTGAACAGCTGTACGCCCTCTAATGCTGCACTACAACACCCCCGGGCGGATACTGCGGGCATAAATTATAAGTCCTGTTTGACGAGAACTATGTTAACACGAACGAGGAATCTTAGTTCACGCATGCAGCGTCCACACGAGGAAGTAACAACGCAGCACTTTGGCCCACACTGCTATTCGCACCCCATAGTCCAACTTGTTGGGCAGTGCAGACAAGCCCCAAGTCAAGTAGGGCTGGATTACTTACACCCATCGAAGCAAAAAATAAAAACACAATCACACAAAACTTATGCCCAAGCTAAAGCATTCTTTATTCTGGACATCGTACAATGGAGTAGATGACCTTTGCGGTCCCTTCTAACCCTATGGTTATATGACTCTTGGCTAGGACACTGGATGTATATTTAGTCACAATGCTTAGGTGAGAGAGAGTTCACATGTATATATGTAGGAGGAGATTTTGAAAGGCACAAAGAGCAGCTAGATAGCCAACTTCCATGACAAATAAATGGATGCTGGGTACCTGATACCCATTTGTATCTTTGAAAATCTTCCCCTTGCTCTCTGCATGCCATGACTGACTGACTGCAGGGAAGCAGCTACTGTCATTGCGTAGCAAAGATGTTTAATACCTTTGTTTGATAGCGATAATCATCTTACTTTTTTGTGAGGACAGGACCCTAGGCAATTTTCATTGTGCGCCACAGCCTATGCTGTGTGCATGCATATTCACTTAAAATAAACCTTGCATAGTTTAAACCTGTATACTGAAAGGAAATGCAACACATAAAAGTACATCCGGGACAATGTTAATTTTATAGGCATGGAACATGTATCCCTATCTGCACAGGTCCACAGACAGTCAGGAATTTATTAACAGCTACATTTTGGAGCAATTTTAAGCTCATCAGAATGTAACAAGTTAAATCAGGTAATGTTTTGTATCCTAAATGGATTGGGAGGATTTAAAAAATAAGCACAGGAGGGGAGAGGATGGATTTATGCAAGCATAACTGTTAAAATTTTCCACTTCCTGGCAGGTTAACACGGACCAGTCTTCGTACAATTGTGCTGCTGTCTTTTCTCCTTCAGGAAACTCCAAAGTTGCCTCTGAATCTAGAGATACAACTAGTTATTGTTCCCTTCCCTCCCCCCAACATTTTTAGACGCTGGTCATCTATCGCAGTTGAGTGTCCTTGTGCTGCCTGCCAAATGGGTGAATGCTGCAGTCTGCATCCTCTAGGAGAACAGGCCATTCACAGCTTCCTACTTTGCAGTAGTTTGGGGCCAGAGCCTCTCTCCCCAGTGGAAAGGCAGCACATGCTGAACAGTTCTCAGATCAGCAGCCAAGCACCAGATTGAGAGCCAGTGGACTCTGCTTCCGACCAGGAGAGGTACTTATAAATACTTTGTATTGTTTCTAAACACGAGGATAGAAATTATCACTGATTCAATAGCAAGTGATCAACAGCACAGGGCAGCTTTCTAAATATCCTGCAGTTTTGAACTGTAAACTGAAGGAGTGACTGTTTTGGTCTCTGCTGAACTAAGTCTGACAACCTTACTGAATTCACGTGGTGGATTGTAATGCGAAGAACATTCTACTTAGGGGCTAGAACAAGAACATCAAACGAGTTTAAAGAGAAGCCCATATCTCCCGGTGGCCAACGTGCTGGCGATGCTCCATTTAGGTTTGGCACAATTCGATTTTTTTCTAATTTTGACGATTTTTATCAATGTTTAGTTTTAAGATTCCCCTCCCCAATTTTTAAGATTTTTTTCTAACTACTTTTATTTTTACAGCTGTAGGGCTGGGCTAAGGGCAGTGCTGGGTGTTGGGCTGAAGAGGTGTCCCTGTGCAACCGAGGGACCCAAAACATTGGGGTGGCAAGGTGCAGGGGATGCTGCGGTCATCATGGTGCAGCAGAAAGAAAACCCCAGCCAGGACTGGAAGAAGGAGGAGGAGGAATGGGTCCCTAGCTGCAGAGACAGCAGGGTCCTCATAGTCCTGGCCAGGGGTATCTACTTTGCCTCCCTACCACACCTTGCGCCTGCAGGGATCATGTGTCATTGGCTCTGAGGCAGCGCAGGAGAGCTTTATTGTCACGGACCCACTCACTCATTCAGAGGGCTCCCTGTAGGCATGCTGTTACCCACAGCTTTTTTTCCCTTTGATTTCAGTGTGGCAGCTGAAATTGACATTTACCGACAGTTATCGATTAAAATCAAATGTGGCCAAGCCTAGCTACATTATACCTAGAGAGTGTTGATTACATATTCCACAACACTAATGCATTTATACGTATATGCCTTTCCCTCTAATACTCACCCTACGCATGCATCAATAAATAGCTGTTGTTCATACAGTGTTTTCAACATTATATTCTACATATGCTTTGAGACTACATTAGTCTAAGCCAGGGGTAGGCAACCTATGGCATGCGTGCCAAAGGCGGCACGCGAGCTGATTTTCAGTGGCACTCATACTGTCCGGGTCCTGGCCACCGGTCCGGGGGGCTCTGCATTTTAATTTAATTTTAAATGAAGCTTCTTAAACATTTTAAAAACCTTATTTACTTTACATACAATAGTTGAGTTATATATTATAGACTTATAGAAAGAGTCCTTCTAAAAACATTAAAATGTATTACTGGCACGCGAAACCTTAAATTAGAGTGAATAAATGAAGACTCAGCACACCACTTCTGAAAGGCTGTTGACCCCTGGTCTAAGCCAACAGCTACTACTAGGCAGAGAATAGATAAACTACCTGTTTTTTGTTTTTGTTTCTGATTTGTACCTGACTCATCAGCAACAAGTAAGCACATCTCAGGGACCTGGAAATTCCCCTTACCAAAAGCACCTGAATGGATGGTAACATGTATCAACGAGTAGGGCAACTACTCTTAACCTTTAAAGCACAGGATTTACTCAGGTCTGAAAGCTGTTTAAATAGAACTGCTACAATCGACTAAGCTTGCACAGAAAAATGGCAGTCCTTTGATCTGAGACACAACATCATCACCATGCACATATGCGAGGGGAAAAGTGTGAGTGTATTCTAATTTCATAATGTTGTGTTACTGCCACTGAGAACTCACTGGAACACTGAATCAGTATTTGCTGGAGCTAAAGCAGGAGGTAGGCTAGCGATAGGATAGAGAGAGTTTTTTTTCCTGAAGTTAAAATGGAAAATTAAACAGTCATGATCCAAGCTAGCTTTCCTTATCACCCCCAAAAGCTTTAATAATTTATCTCAGTCCCTAGCACTAGTAATACACCACAGTCCTGATCTGTTACCTCTAAACAGATACAGATGACAATACTGAACAGCATCATACCTGTAAACTGGGCCAAACATCAGCTATGAACTAGATTGAAAATCAGCCTCCATTTCACTTGAGAGTCATATTTGAACCCTTGCTACCTGACGTGAAAGGCTGATGCATTAATCAGATCTGGTTCTCCCTTCTCCCTGATCAGAATTCTCAAACTTGTAGGGGGAATAAAGCAAAAGTTCCATGACCAGCATCCTGATTCTGGCTGACAGGCTTTCCACCAACAGTGGAACACAAAGAAAAAACTACTTACTTGCACAGAGGTGTGAATCTTTGTTGAAAGGTTTCATACAGTGGTAACAGTTGACTGGACCCACGGTAGGGGTTGCACTGAAGAGGTGTCCATTTAACATCTTCTTGTCTTTTTCTCTCTCCTTGGAATCTTTGTCCTTCTCTTTAGTCTTCTCCTTATCTTTCTCTTTTTCCTGCAAAGGGAAAAAGGACCTGTAGAGTCTAGTGACAAATCCCTCATGCTATGAGTACATTGATCCACACACCCCTTACCAATAGCCATATGTATTCATAGATCTCAGCTAGGGAAGCAAATGCACAGCCTTCGCAGAAAAAGATTAACACTCTAGATTTCCCGTGTCCTCTCTCTATACAGGCATTTTACAAGTACAGCAGCTCAAGAAATTAGGTCTCTTCTCATCAAAGCATCTGTGTTTCTTCCCATCTTTGGCTTTAAACATATGCCCTTGTTCTGATCATCACTAAAACACAATCTCTGCAGCATTTCCAACGGATTGTAGCATAACTAAAATACAGGTTTTGTGTAGGCCAAGCTTTCAATGTGAATTTGAATGTGAAGTTAATTTTTACGGCCAATGTAAAAACTAATTTTTATAAGTGTATTTTAAAGGAGAAAGACGGACCTTTATTTCGGGGTGGGCTGATAGAATTCTGTTCCTTATTTTCCTCTTCACTAGTTTGAGCTGCCGTCTTCAGTTTCATTCAATCAGCTGTGAATAATCTCCTTGGACAGTGTTTCCCAAACTTGGGACGCCGCTTGTGTAGGGAAAGCCCCTGGTGGGCCGGGCCGGTTTGTTTACTTGCCGCGTCCGCAGGTCCGGCCGATTGCGACTCCCACTGGCCGCAGCTCCAAGCCAATGGGAGCTGCTGGAAGTGGCGTGGGCTGAGGGACGTACTGACTGCCGCTTCCAGCAGCTCCCATTGGCCTGGAGCAGCGAACCGCGGCCACTGGGAGCCGCGATCGGCTGAACTTGCGGACATGGCAGGTAAACAAACTGGCCCGGCCCGCCAGGGGCTTTCCCTGCACAAGTGGCGTCCCAAGTTTGGGAAACACGATCCTTGGAGATATGGATTTTTCACAAACTTTCTATCCATAGCACGGTAGAGTAGGTTGATTTATTGAACTATGGCTAAATGGGACTCCAGGTTACCCAGTACCGGCTTGTTCACTGTGCTCTGGCTTTCTTAACTGCAGAGACCAGTAAAGGCAGATGATGGCTGCTTTGCAAAGCCTAGGTTCTGAGCTCCCCATGTCTCGACAGCAGGGGAGATAAGACTGGTCAGATACATAGACTAGCATCAACACATTATATAAAATCTTAAAGAGGCCATACTGGTTACTCTCAGCTTTGGGAATCCAGAGCACAGCCGCTTTTGGTAAGCTGACTAGCAAAGCCTTCAGGCCCATCCGCTCTGATTTTCAGAAGGGTCCCTCCTCCTTCCCACAAAGAGATTGTTGTATCAGCAAGATTACGCTGCTTTAAATATGAGGCTTGAAGTTCCCTCCCAATCTGGAAGCTTAATGGGTGATTCAAAGCAAGTCACAGAAAATGCAAACATTCCCATTTTCACAGCCTGAGTAGCACATGACTAATATTGAGACGATGAAAAAATATAGGAAGTGACAATATGTTGGTTTCCTTCTATGTTTGGAAGTCCTGTTAAATATGGGTCATAACTTACATCAAACACAGGAAATTTAGCTCTCTAGTATGTGGCCTGCATCACTGCCACCTTCATGAGAGTTGCACATGCAAAATACAAATGTGAATAACATTCAACCCTTCAACGAATATATATCTGCACATACACACACAAAGCATTTAACTGCTGATTACACAATGCAACCCCATTATCGTCTCAACGATAATCATTTCTATCGCAATGGATTATTGAGACCATGATGGCTTTTGTAAGAGAATGGAGGCTAAAGTGAAATTATGAAGGTTTTCTGTGGATTTATATGTTGTTAATGATATGTAACATGCCTAGAGCTAAACATTTTTCCAATAGAGGTCTAAATAAACAAACAAAAGATCCCTCCTGCTGCCCAGCAGCAGGACTGAGGAACAGCAACAAAGCAGTTAATACCAGGACAGTGAATACAAGTTCTGCAGTCCCCATGAGGAAAGCTTTGAGCCTTTGATATCACATGCAAATAATTAGTAAAAAGTTTAACATTTCTGTCTGTCTCTCTATGAATCCAAAACTGAGTCCACCCCTACATGGCCTTTAAACTAAAGTTGACTCTCTGAGTTATTGGCCCCAGAGCCCCTCTCAGCATTACATTCAGAAATGAACAATACTTAGGATGCAGTATTAAATGTGACAATCTTATCTGGCGCAGACAAACCTGAAACTGCCAGCAGTCCCCTAAATCATCTAGACTGGATTAGAACCCTGTGAACTACAGGTGAAAGGCTCCATGTCCCATTCACAATCTGCTGAACTGTGCAAATCCAGCAGCGTTCACTTTGGAAGGGGCTCAGGACTTATACCCTGTAAGGATGGTAGCAAATCAAGACCAAAAAGTTTGCTTGAATGTCAGACTCTAAGGAACTCAGACCTCCGAGGGAAGGATCTTACTCTCACCCAGACCCTATGCCTCTGTGAACACTTAAACACTCCTAGCAATGCTAAAAGAGATTAACTTTATAACTTCCCAGGGAGTGCAGCTGGTATTTAAAGACAGGTTTTTGCAATTTGGTAATTTTGGGGTCTCGGACATTAACCGTCTTTTATGGTTTTATAAAGAAAGAAAAACGTTTAAAAAAACTAGATGATTTCAGTTAGACACAGGAAATACTGCACCACCTTTAGTAAGGAAAAAGCCAACTTTCATACGGTGGGTTAATAACCCATCACAAAGCATTACCTTAAAATTAAATGTTCTTTCTACACCACCCATTACTGAAGCTTCCTTCAAATAACAGCATGAAAATAGAAACACTTTTCTTCCATAAAAAAAAACCACCAGCACGGTTGAACCAACCAGTTCACTGGGTAGCATACTTAAACATCAAATTTCAGCGTGAAATAACGGTTAAGTTCTTACCTCCCAATGCGTCATTCCTACTAGTCTCACTGTTATTCCAGGTATTTCACTAAATCTACTCCGTTTTACCGACATGCTTTCCCAGGGAAAGGAGCGCTGTTCTCTATGTGTATTAGTCCATAGTGACAGCACACTGGTCTGCTCAGTCTGCCACCACAGACTATTGGGAGAGGAAGTAAGATTGCTTGGGCAAGGGAGGGAGGGAGGTCTGTTTGCTACTGACTTCCTTAAAGATGATCTTAACTATTTTGCGGCTGCTTGTATCACATTTTCCCCTAGCTAGACCTGTTTACAAAAATCAGAGGGGCAGTGACGAGAAGAAATGAATTTTAAAAGGAAAGTGGCACTTAAATTGGCGTCCAGAACTTTAAAAGAGATTTAATAAAACAACCCCTCTATGATACTTGGGGCATTTATGAGAAGAAAATTTTATTCTGTTAGAAATAGATGCACATTTAGTGTACCTCACCAGTATTTAGTACTTTTGCAGTACTCTGTTTATCAAAACACTTCTCATGAAGATGGCTAGAGAGGTTGCTTTTGTATATCTCATTCACAGATGTTTACAATCTCACAGTTCTTTGAAATGCTATTTTGAAAAGCTGGTGGTGTTTAAAACTCCCTGGATGCAGACACCTACTCTAACTGCACAAGTGAATGACAGGAGAAATTACTTAGCCTGCTTTTCTTAATTGGATTCCATATTTGCTGTCATTCCCCAGAAATTCATTTTGAAAACGGAAGAAACTCTGAATATTTTTCTGACTAAGAGCAATATCACACAGTAAAGATCGTGTGTATATGAACCATTTTATGCAATTAAGTTGAATGGAGTTTCACCAATGTAAAACTGAAGTAACATGATGATGCACTCTAGACACACTGGTAAAATTACCCACTTATCTATTCCCCCCTTCATTTTTAATTTCCCTTGTGCCTATATGTCTCCTTTTGCATTGTTGTTAACATAATTTTTTAAAAATATATATTGGTCGTGGTCTTCGTCAGAAAGTTTATTTTACAACTGATCTTAGAAAACTGCATTATCTAAAACCAAGTTCTGAGCAGAGCAAAATCTGTTAGGAGCAACTGTATGTTTATGCCTCTTGCTCTACTAGAAACAGTTAGAAGAAACAACCAAATCTTCCTGTTCTACTTCCTCTTTCAAGGGTTGTTTTTTGTCTTTCATGTTTTAATCTAAAAAACTCTTCTTCTCTGTGATGATCCAGTCCTCCGAGGAACGTGAACCTGTATTTTTCAGACTTACTGTATAAAATTGCAGTAATTAACACAAAAATATTCCGAAGCAAGAAGAAAACAAAAGTGTTTGACTTGGATATCACTCTGCATTGCCAATTAGTAAAGAGTCAAAGCTGCTAGCTGTTGCGAGCTTTTAAAAAGCAAATTGTGTTTACTATCTTGGAGGGACTCTTATTTTATTAGAAAGTTTTAAAGTAGCCAAAAAAGCCAGAGTGTGGCAGTCTCTGTGGCACGTGGTTTAATAGACAAAGGTACAGGAAGTGTCGCAATGTGCATTCTCCACGTACTGTCTTATCCCTCATCCTAACAGAATCTTTCTCTATATACAACTGTGATCTACTACGAACTCCCAGTTCATGCCTTATGGCAAGGACTGTCAGCAAATCCCCCAACTGTACATATTCCACAAATTCTCACGAGTGGTTTGTATGAAGGGTTCTATATAAATACATTCTCTCACATTGAACTTTGCATTGGAGAACGGGGACAGCTGTCATATTCTTTTGAACTTGTCATAATCGGATGCAGCTCTGGGGTTGTCAATGACCACAGCATGCATCCTGTAGAGATAGATCAACAAAAGGGAACTGATCTCCCTTGTGTAAGGGCTTAAAGATGTCACAATCTCTAGATGATGCACCAGAGATGACGCCACTATTGTACATTTATTGTATTACCACACAAAGGCCTACCCGTTAAAAGAATGTTAAGTTTGGAAAGTCAAGCACCAGTGGGCCGGGCCGGTTTGTTTACCTGCCGTGTCTGCAGGTCTGGCCGATGGCGGCTCCCACTGGCCGCGGTTCGCCGCTCCAGGCCAATGGGGGCTGCGGGAAGTGGCAGCCAGCACATCCCTCTTCC